CCCCCGAAGCTAGGGCTCGAGAACCCCGGCGTCCTAGATTCCGTTCCTCGGGATGTGGTTTGGAGTTACACCCCCCAGCGGAGAGGGCCCCAGGGAGGCAACGACCCCCCAGGGTGGCCTCGGGAGGGACCCCGCGGTTTAACACCGTTTACACGCGCCGGCAGGCACCGGGAGAGCCGCCGGTCCCGGACTTTGCCGAAGGCGATTGCATTATGCGGTTTGTGTTCGCCGCTTTACAGACGGGGAAGTGGAGGCGTGAAGTTCATTAACGCGTTCAAGGTCACGCACGGTGGGGCAAGTTGTGGAGCCGAGATTCTCCCCAGGCACCTCTGTTCCCGCAGCCTCCCTGCCCCCGCGACACGCGTCCCCAAAGCCTCATTCCCACAGGATTCCCACCAGTGCCGGAGGTGGACCCGCGGTGGGGGCCAACACGTAACTGATGGGCGCTTCTGAGGGGGCCCCAGGTTGGACACCAAGGCGTCCAATTCTCTCCAGCAGCTCCAGAGGCGGCTCTCCAATGGTTGACCTAGCCATGTGACCTCAAAACCCAGTTATGGGAGTGTCTCCTGTGTATTGGTGGTTTGGCTAATGTGGTGTCAATGGGCATCATATTGTTTAATTGGTGTTTGATGATCTGAGAGCCTGAATTTGTCACTAGTTTACACTGAGCATCTTCTAATTATCTAATCACCTTCGGGCTAGCCGGCTTTCCTGCCAAAACCGAGTGAGCGGTAAGCAGCTTTTGCATCCTGTCTTCCCAGGAAAGAGGTGGTCTCCTGCTGGGAAGGGTACAGCTCCGTGAGCCTTTCACCCCTTCCCTGTAGCTCCAACCGCCAACCTTGGCGTCAAAAGGGAGGGCCTTGTGGTGGGGGTTTGGGCTGGCCAAGGGACAGATGTATAGAGGAAGGGGATGGGAAGACCCCAACCCCACCTCAGAGGGATTACCTGGGTAGGCATCCTGATGTTTTCTTCTCTCAACATTTTGGCTAGTTCCTATGCTGTGCCAGGACCTATGCTGTGTGCTGGGCAGGAGGGCTGAAGTTTCAGGTCAAGGGTCCAGCTCAAGACTTCCAAGATTCAAGGCTGTGATTGCCCTGGGGGGCCTCCTATGCAAAAGACCAGAAATAAAACTTCCCTGAAGGTTTCATTTTCAAAATCAGCCCAGCAAAGGTAACCCCACAGGGTGTGCAGAGGTGGTGGTGGGAGGTGGGAAGAGGGCAGTTATACTTCAATTGCTGGAAATCCCATAGTCAGGTCACTTCTGGGCCAGTGAAGAGGAGCCAGGACCACAGAGGATCATTCCAGAGCATCCCACACAGCAGCTCTGTGTACTCTCCTGAATCTCCTTTTGCCAGTTATATCATAGATTATGTGTTCAATTAAAAACAAGGAACACCTAGTCAATAAAAATAAACTAAAAGAAACTGCAGCCCTGGCCGGGTGGCTCAGTTGGTTGGAGCATTGTCTCATACACTTGAAAGGTTTCAGGTTCGATTCCAGATCAGGGCACATGCCCAGGCCACAGGTTCGATCCTTGGTCAGGGCGTGTACAGGAAGCAGCCAACCGATCAATGTTTTTTTCTCACATCAAGTTTTTTTTTTTCTCTCTCTTTCTCTTCCCCTCTCTCTAAAAAGATCAGTGAACAAACACGTCCTTGGTGAGGATTAAAAAAAAAAATTGCAAACATCATAGTTAGAGGATCAACTCCTCCCATCAACCACACTTCTGGGCAGAAGGCTGTCTCTTCCCATGGAAAGGAATGACCTGGACCAGACTATACACATCAAGCACTGGGCGTGGTTAAGAGGCCTGGTGTCTGGTGTGATCCTGGAGCCTTGCCAGACAGGAGGAAAAATTACCACATGCTTGTAAAATCCTCCTGCTTCTGCAAGGCTGTTTCCAAACAGCATCTTCTTTGTGGGACTAATTTTTCTGGTACCTTTTTTTGTCACAGATTGTGACAAGTTAAATGGTTTTTGTGTTTTGTTGTGTTTTTTAATCTTTTTTTTAAAATCCTCACCCAAGAATATCCATCCTTCCTTCCTTCCTTCCTTCCTTCCTTCCTTCCTTCCTTCCTTCCTTCCTTCCTTCCTTTCTCTCTTTCTCTCTTTGATTTTTAGAGAGGGGGAAGAGAGAGAGAGAAACATCAATGAGAGAGAGAAACAGATCGGTTGCCTCCTGTATTGATTTCAGAGAGAGGAAAGGAGAGGGAGAAAGACAGAAACATCAATGTTGACAAAGTCATCATTGATCGGCTGCCTCTTGCATGCCCCCAACTGGGGATGGAGCCCGCAACATGGGCATGTGCCCTGACCGGGAATTGAACCATGATCTCCTGGATCATAGGTTGATGCTCAACCACTGAGCCATGCCCAACCGGGCAGCACATCTCATCTTGACCTTGCCACATTTCAAGTGCTCAATAGCCACATATGAGATTAATGGCTACCATAGTGAACAGGGCAGGTCTATGCATTTACAAGCATATGTATGTCCATTTTTTTAAAATTTCTATATTTTCCCAAGAACAGGTATAATTATTAGATTAAAAGAACATGATCTCATTCTGTCAGTTCCTCAAACAACTAAACACAGAGTTACCATATGACCCAGCAATTCCACTCCTAGGTATACGCCCAAGAGAAATGAAAACATGTGTCTACATAAATACATACAAACAAATGTTTATAGCAGCATTATTCATGGTTACCAAAAGGTAGAAGCAATTTAAATGTCTATCAACTGACAAATGTATAAACAAAATGTAATACCCACACAACAGGGTATTATTCAGCCATTTTTAAAAAATGAAATACTGACAGATGCTACATCATGGATGAATCTTAAAGACACGATGCTAAGTGAAAGAAGCCTGTCATAAAAGACACATGATTCCATTCATATGAAATGTCCAGAACAGGGAAATCTATAGACAGAAATTACATTAGTGGTTGCTTAGGGCTGGAGAGGGGCAGATAGGGAGATGATAGCTAAAGAGTATGGGATTTCTTTCTAAGGTGATGAAAATGTTCTAAAATTGACTGCGGTAATAGTTTCATATATCTGTGAATTGTATACTTCAAATGGGTGAGTTGTATAGTACATGAGCTATGTCTCAATAAAGCTGTTAAAAATAAAAGCATATGCTATGAAGGACTCTTGGCTCTAGGAACTCTAGGAGTGTCCTCAAATAGCTGAATAACTTCTTTCCTGCTAACTGCAGCTGCCCCCTATCAACAGGCCCACAGTGTCTTCTACTTCCTGGCCCAACCTTGGTGCCATACAAAGAGAAGTGATACAACCACTTCTAGGACAGAAAAGAAGCCACACACATGTGTTGATGGCATAGCCATGTCCAGACACCCACTCTAAGTGCTGCCTATAGCAGTGTATAGGGCCCGTTTCTACTCCCTCTCAACTGACCACTTCCTGCACCAGTTCATCTGGAGTTCTGGGATCCCCCACCTCCCTCCATAAGCCCCATCTTTCCACTTCTCAACCTTAGGGAAGTCAATAGTCCACCTTCTCTTTCTTGACCCAGGTGGTCCAAAGCTGCCTGCCAGGCTCAATAACTATTCCACTTACCTAATAGCTATTCTTTGTGCCCCTCAGCAAGCTCTCCCTTCTCCTTTTCATTTTTAAAAAAATATGTTTTTATTGATTTCAGAGAGAGAGGAAGGGAGAGGGGGAGAGAGAGAGAGAAACATCAGTGATGAGAGTCATTGATTGGCTACCTCCTGCACGCCCCCTGCTGGGGATGAGCCTGGACTGGAATCACCATCATCTGGATCTTAGGTCAATGTTCAACCACTGAGCCATGCCAGGTGGGCCTTCTTTTCATTTTAAAGGGCCTGTTAATACTTGCTTATTGAAGAAAACTTGGAAAATTCAGCAAAGTAGGGGAAAAAAGCCAACCCACAGACCAATCACCCAAATATCCACTAATTATTAGCCAGAATGGGTAAGGGACCAGGAGGAAAATATGTCACATGAATGAAATCTCCAAAATGTAGCAAGGTTTCCCAAAGATGCATGGGAAGGAATCCTCATACAGGTGGCCCTACATTCACCTTTGCACAGCAACCATACACCCATTATGGGCCAAGCACTGATCTGGCCTGTATAGGAAAAAATCTCCCACATTTCCTTCTGGATCCTGTGATTAGAAGAATATTTTTTATATCTCAGGGAAAGGGCTAAGTAAGACACAAAACCCAGAAGCAATACAGGAAAAATTGATAGACCTGCCTACTTAAAGAGTTAAAACTTCTCATATCTAAGACTCCCTAGTCTGAGTTAAAGAACAAATGGAGAATATATTTGCAATATACTTAACAAAGATTTTATGTTCAGAGGTGAAGAGCTCCTGAAAATCAACAAAAAGACAAATATAAGGGACACATGGGCAAAGGATATGACTAGGAAATCCACAGGATTCAAACGGCCAATACACATATGAAAAGAGAAATGCACGCTAAACCAGCAGTGAATTACACTTCTTTCCCTTGGCTTCTAGAACACCACACAGGTTTGGTTTTCCTCCAACCATTTCAGATGTTCCTCATGAGTTAACTTTTAAAATATATATATATTATTTATTAAAGTATAGCTGACATACAATATTTGATTAGTTTCAGGTGTACAACATAGTGATTTGACATTTATGTACCTTATGATGTGAACAGCACCGTAAGTCTAGTAACCATCTGTTACCATACGAAGTTATTATCCTGTTGGCTATTTTCCCTATACTGTACATTCCATCCCCATGACTTATTTATTTTATAACTGGAAGTTTGTACCTCTTTTGCCCCTCTTCACCTCTTTCACCCACCCCCACCCCACTCTCCTCTGACCACCATCAGTTTGTTCTCTGTATCTATGAATCTGTTTTGTTTATCCATTTGTTTCATTTCTTAAATTCCACCTATAAGTAAAATCATATGGTATTTGTCTTTGATTTATTTCACTTAGCTTACTGCCCTCTACATCCATCCATGTTGTTGCAAATGGATAGCTTTCATTCTTTTTCATTTTATGTCTTAGCAATATTCCAATGCATACATATACCACATCTTCTGCATCTCATGAGTTTCTTGCTAGTCCTTTCTCGAGCCCTTAACCTTGGAGGGCCCAGAGCACTGGCCTGGGCTCTCTTCTTCTTTGTTTACATCCACTCACTTGAAGTGTCATCTAGCTCCAGGTCCTCACTCAGCCTGTCCCTCTGGGGGTCACAGCCTTCCTCTCTGCCTACTCTTCATGTTACTCTAAGAGGGTTTTTTGTTTGTTTGTTTTATTGATTTTAGAGAGAGAGGAAGAGGGAGAAACATCAGTGTGAGAGAGAAATGTGGATTGGTTGCCCCCAGTATGCACCCAATTGAACCCCAAACCTGGGTATGTGCCCTTACCAAGAATGGAACCCCTCACCTTTTGGCGTACTTGACAATGCTCCAACCAACTGAGCCACTTCCCAGGGTGTTCTAAGAGGTTTTTAAAGCACTGTAATACATTCAATAAGAATTTTTATGTGTTTGGTGCAGGAAGAAGAGGTTTCAGGGATTCATGTGTACATATGCCTATGTATATACATGACATCATTTCTGTAGGTAGAAACATACATTTATGGCTATATGCATTTGACACACTGAGATGTTATCTGTGTTTATCTATGGATTGTGGGATCACCATCAAATAGATTTAAAACTGGTGTTGCTATTATAAAAATAACCTAAATGTGTAACAATAAGCTACATAGATTAGAGTTCATCCATAATTGGAACAATATACAACCATTAAAAAGCTTGTGGGCCCTGCCAGGCCTGGCTCCGGTTGCACACCGACCTAGGATCCAGGAGATCCAGGTTAGATTCCCGGTCGGGCACATGCCCGGGTTGGGGTCTCTATCCCCGGTTGGAGGCATGCAGGAGGCAGCTGATCCATGATTTTCATCATTGATGTTCCTCTCTCTCTCTCCCTCTCCCTTCCTCTCTCTGAAATCTATCTATCTATCTATCTATCTATCTATCTATCTATCTATCTATCTATCTATCTAAGCATATTGGCAATACTTTACCGATATGGAAAAATTCTCATCATTTGATGCCAGGTAAAACAGCAGGAGATGCCAGATATACAGAAAAGACTGGAAGGAAACGTATCCAAATGTTACCTGCGTATCTCTCCAGGTGTTGGGGTGAAAAGTGATTTCTAGTTTCCTGTATTTTTCAGTTTCCGCCAAAAATGTGAGTTATTTTTTCCTTAATAAAGCACAAAACACAGTCGTTATTCTTTACGAGCAACAAATCGCCGCCCGCCCGACTCAGTGGCCAGGCACCGCGCCCCTGTCCCCGGGTCACCGGGAACCCGAGCGCCGGCCGGTCCAGCAGGCCGCAGCGCCCC